CGCTGGCCAAGGGTAAGGAGCAGGCGGGGAGAGGCCCACGGCCCAGGCGGCCCCGCTGCGCACCGAGGAGCGGAGCGGCGCTGGGGCTTCTCTGGCACCGAGCAGGACCCCGAAGCTACGGCCGGCCCCCACCGCGGGCCCGAGTGTGGCGCGAGGGCCTGTGGGCTGCCAGGGCCCCGGCGGTGGGGCCCAGGCTGAGCCCTGGGGGGAGCCGCGGCCGAGCTGGACGCGCAGGGGGCCGGGAGCGCCGAGCGCGGAGTTCTCGGAGAGCCCCGAGGGCCGAGGAGCAGCCGCCGCAGTGAGAAGAAGCTGGGCGCTTTACTTGGAGCAGGATGGAGGAGGCAGAAGCTGCCGAAAGGGGTCCTGGACAGAGTTAAAGTACGAAGAACTTATAGGGGGAGCTAGTACAGAGCAGTAGCGTCAGGGAAAGCGGGAAGAGGATCTGTCTGTATCGGAAGAACTCCTGATGTTGAGGCCGAAAGTGGTGTGGGGCTGCAGAGCAGGAAGCTGCTGCCTCCTGGGGTAGAGACAGCCAAGATCTTCCAAAGGAGAGCGTGCAAGTCATCGCGATTATCAATAAATGAAACTGTCTTTGAGCTCTTCTTTAGTAGGTAAAGGGCGTTGTATAAACCAAAATTGAGGATAAATCGTGGTGTAAGAGTGTATTGGCCAAAGGAATGAGCCTGTCAGAAAGTTAGAAGGATGTGTTCATAGAGCAAGCGAGTCAAGAGACAGGAGTAAAAAGGGAGTGTGTTCGAAACAGGATACATCAAGGACTATACTCTTTCTTGCACATGCTAATACACTCTTAGCACAGGAACGTTAACTGTGGCAGGGAATGTGTAATATTCGTGTCAAAAACAAAGTCAAAATTTTTAGTATGTTCTTTATAATTGACTGCAAACTCAATTGTATTTTGATTTACAGACTTTGAGTCTGTAAAGTTTTATAAATAATCTAAATACATATATAAAATCTGAGAAGGCTTAATTCGGCTGTTAGGTAAGGAGAAAAATTGCTTCCTATGTAAATTAAATAATGAGGCTGAGAATATTCTAAATCTCTTTTCCTGTTTGTTATAGTAGACTTAGTCTTTAAGCTAGTGAAGAATAACATAATGAGGATCTTAAGTTTTACATAGTTGGTATATTTAATACCTCATCTGTTGATTTGAGGCCGTGTAGCAGTTTGCTTTCATCTCTGGGTCTTTGTGGAAATTCTTGTTTGTTTACCCTGTCGTTTTACACCCCCTTCCCATATATGTGTGTGTATGTGTTTGTGTGTGTGTGAATGTTACTATTTAAGAAATAAAATGTGTTGTTGTATAAGTTGTTGTACCTGTGCTTTGAAATAGATGCTTTGCTTTCTACAGAGCCTATACTTTTATAGTAGGCCCCAGGCTTGTGTTAAGTTACAGGATGTTTAGCTTTCATGATTTGAAAGTTAACTTTTTATTTCTAAAGTTGTTTTCAGGTTAAATTTACTTTTAAGAATTGATTTGTGCATTTAAGATTGACAACTGGTATTTCTTCATATGCAAAAAAGATAAACACAGTGATAAAAATGTTTAGGAATTCCAGATTCATGTTGTTTTAATTTTCACACACAAGCAGTTATAAGCTCCTGTCCTTAAGGAGCTTGTAATAGTCTTTAACTTTGATAGATTTAGTCCTGATCAAGTCAGTCATGCATGACTCCCAAGGAGTGGTTAAGTCATACTGTTGCATAGCTACCAAAGTACAGATATTAAAGACAGATCAAATTACAATTATAAGTCTAAACTGCACTCTTCTCGTAACTCTCATCCAAAATGTAAATCCAAACTATTAAGCTGGTTTAATAAAAGTTGCCTGAGTTAACTCAGTAATGTATGTTTTGTGATGTAGTGTTTATGATTCAGAAGGGAGTAAATGCGTATTTCCAGGCCACTTGGAAACAAAAAATCTTGATGTTAAAAATGCCATCCAAAATGGTTTAATACTTCCATTTTGCTCCTCTATAGATGGCTGGTCGCTCATCCTGGTTGAGTGCAAGTCAGTGTTCCTCACTTCCTTATGTAGTCACTGAAATTATTTGTGAGGCGAAATGCAAAAGACTCTGACATTGCAGATTTGTTTAACAGTTGGGCTTCAGTAGGTTAAACTGAGATAAAGCTTTTTTTTTTTTCTTTTTTCTTTTTCTTTTTTTTAAGGCAGAAATATTTTGGGGAGTTGGTGAGAGGGTCCTGATTGCAAGTCTTAATTTACTGTGGAACAATTTCTGCTAGTTCTCTAACCAGCATTTATTTACAGAACTGTGATCCTTTCACTACCAAAAATTGTGGCCTTTGTCTCATGAGTTAGAGGAAGATAGCAATTGGTCAAATATTTATCCTAAGGTTCGGTTTGATAATGCATCTTCTCACAAAGTTTGCCAGTCTGCCATTATTTAAATAAAAGTGATTATTCCCAGATATACCACTGGAATTAAATTCCAGATACTAAGCAAGATAAACGATTATGTGATTTTTGATTATTTGATATTATTGATGCTTATATTTTCAACATCAATGTCACAGAACCACAGAATAGTTAAAGTTGGAAGGGAATTCTAGAGATCATCTAGTCCAAACCTCCTACTCAAGGAGGAACACCTACGGCGTGATAAAACAAACAAGCGAAAAGCATATGATGCTGATATTTGGATTTTCAGTTTTTCAGAGCTAGGACCAAAAAGAGTTAAAACTTCTAGTTGATACTTATGTTCTGTATTCCCATCATTAAGTCCAACAAGTTACAGAACAGACTGTTTACAAACAACAGCTAGAAGAGGGTAAAATTTCTTGCTGTAAAACGATAGCAGCTGTACTCAGAGGCAGTATATGCATACCCATTACTGATAGCACTTGAACTTGCTCACTGTGGCATTAGAAGTAGATACAGTCTTTCATACTAATAACTTGTCTTGTCCTTCCATTTGCAGGCACTCATGAAGATAGTGTGATGGTGTTTTTTGTTGTTGTTGTTTTTGTTTTTTTAAAGTAATTTTACTTCGTAAGAACTTTTGCTTTTTGTCAGAAGAAGCTTTGTTTCCTGTCAATAGTAGTAAATTCTTAGGAGTACAAGAAACAATGTTAGAGATGGTCCCTCTGGTGTGGTGCATTGTTTTTTACTTGCAACTGTTGAGGACTTCTTGTGGAACTTTATTTGGACTGTTATGCTTAATAGATATTAGTGAACTAGATTTCATGAATTTGTCTTAAAAAATGGTTTAACTTCTGGTATTTTTGATCATCTGCGATAGCGTTATCACAGATAATATATCTGATGATGCATGTGGAGAGAAAGCTTTGCCTCCCCCCCCCCCCTTTTTTAAACTATCTTAATTTGGTGGAAGACTAAGAAATGAGGATGGAACAAAGTTTAAATCTTGTGAAGACTCGAGTACTTCTATAGCTGAGAAGTTGGAACAGCAGAGGGAAGGAGTAAATTCATTTTTTAAAAAGAAAGAAGTTACTTTTATTTAAGAGGTTATTTTTCAGGGTCAGTTACTTGACATGCACCTTTCATGCTCCTTTTCAGGGCTTCGTGGCTAGGACATGTGTGCCTAAGCCAATCCTTTGCATAGTATGTCCCACCAGAACAATTTATAACATGAAATTTCTCTCACAACTACCTACCTCTTACTTCCTTGTTAAACCACCCTCACAAGAAGCAGGGAAATGCAGGCTGAATTGTTCTGAAAGTAACAACCTACTCTTAGGTGTTACCTTTCCATTCATTCTTTTGCCATGATATGATGTGTTATAGGGAAGGTATTTGGAGAGATCTGGCAATTAAGGATGAACTGTCATGGTAATGGTGGCCTAATTTTGGTCACCATGCTTCCCATGGGTGCCTTAAGAGTAAGGAAAGGCTTGTGCCTGCATGTGTGTGATGTATACAAGATAAGCCTGAAGAATTGAGTCAGTGCTGTGTGCAGGGACCTTATTGAAGTGCATATGTGCGATAATTCACATTAGAAGGGGAACAGAGTCCTCCTTTTTGCTAGTAGAATGTTGTGACTTGTCTTTTGATTATTATAATATTTTTCACTCAAAAGGTGATTTTTTTTTTCTAATAAGTGATAATGGAAGCTTACAATGCTGTTTATTTTCCTTGGGATTATAGTGGTATAATATGTTATATAGTGTTATAGTGTTATGTGCTATATAGTAGCATAGTATATACGTTGAAATCAGTCATACTAAATTGGTGGAACTACGTAGGCATAAAGTTGCATACATAAATTTTATTATGCTCAAAACTATAAATTGCTTTCTAGCCAGTTACTTAAATGTGTGTAATTATGCTGATGAAAATATTTGCTTTTAACATATGATGGTTTCCATTTCCTTCTTTGCAAGTCACTGTGCCGATTTAGGTCATTTGAAGAAAAATGTTTAAGTCAACAAAGTAGGATTAAATAGATTTACTGCAGTTCTGATAACAGTTATGTGGTCATGTTGTTTTTCACATACTTATCTTCATTTCCTCTCCCTCCTTAGTATTTTGCTATGTATGAACCACTGCACCTTGTTCTGGAGGAGTGATGTAGTCTGAGGAAATACCCCAAGAGGCAGAGTGGGATAGAGCTCTAAGACTGCTGCTGCTCTAAATACATTTTCTTTTTGATATTCTGGCAAATTAGTATTTCTGATCATGCCAAACTATGGTAAAACTTGTTTCTTTCTAACATTCCTATTGTATTATGAATTTAATATTAGACTTTTTTATTTTAATGAGCTTGAAGCATGTTAAAATGTGATATATGCAGAGGAAGAATAAACCGTTGAGAGACACATCCCATTGCAAAATATTAAAATAAGCATTTAAGTCTTTGTTACACTAGTATCTGAGGACCTAACTGGGATAGTACTGGAACTTGATCTAGTTAAGCCAACTTTACCTGTTTTCTAAGATCTCTGCACATGCTGTTCTGCTTCCTTGCTTTAAAGTGAAAGGCAAGGTGGGAGATGATTGTCTCTTGCTTTTGAGTGAAGGGGAAAAGATTGAACCTCATTTCAGAGTTTAGTTCTGTAGGTCAGGGATAAGCAGTTGCCTTGTACTGGATAAAATTCTCTCTCTTTCTCTCTCTCTTTTTTTTTTTTTTTTTTTTTTTCCCCTTCCCCACTGGAAATTTGCACTAAAGTATTACTAAAACAGTAGTTGCAGGTGGGTCTTGGGAATAATCCCAAACCTTTAGTAGCAGCTCTTCTTGTATTGTGTTGCAAAACCATAGACTGTTATCAGCATCTTCATCTAGTCGCCTAGACAGCTGCATATGTTAATAAAAAAAATTCTGATTTGGCATATTGGTAACTTTCTTGTTAAGTGGTGTTTTTTTTTTCTCCTTCTTCCTCTTGTTTGTTGTGTTTTTTTGTTATTATGCAGAGAGAGATGAAGCCTTTGCTGAGTTACAGTAAAATCTCTTTACTGATTGTGGACTGGTACTTGCAGTTTTTTTGTTTGTTTTGTTTTAATCCAGTGGTAGTTTATTATTAGATTAAAATGGTATCTTTCAACTTCTTTCATTTATTAGTTTAGAATGGAGGGAGGTGATTGCTGGGTGTTAAAACTGCTTGTCCTCTTTGCGTCTTGTGACATCGTTATTTATTACTAAAATGCTTACCTAGACAGAGTACCTCTGACTTAGAAGTGTGTTCATAGTAGACTTCTGCCATAGTTCATCAGTAAGGACAAGATATCTTCCTCTAGCTTACTACCCTTTTGGGGGTTTTACTTGTTGCTTAGTTCCTTTGTTTCATCTGTGAAGTGAAATACCATTAACTTAACAGTTAGTGCACTGGACTTTTTAGACAAAATGGCTACTACAGCCACATTTCAGTGTGGTAGGATAGAGACACCCCATACAAAGTCAACTTTGCTGTTAGCAAGGCAGCAGGTCGAATAACACAGTGAAAGGCCAGGCTTATTTACCAGTTAGGTAGTAAGTACTGTATCGAATGGCCAGGGACTGAAGATAAATTCTTGGTCAAAATGTTAAAATACAAGGCCCTGATGAATCACAAGCAAAAGAAAAAACTACAGTAATGCACATGACCAATGGATAATGTTGTTTCAGTAAAAATAACATTTTACTGGGTATTTCTGGAAATTTTTGATCTTCAAATATCTCAATCTCCTTCTACAGAGGAAGAAGAGATGGTAGATTTAACTTGTTTAATAGCATATGCCTTTTGATAGCTCTTAAACTTTATTGTAGTGTAGACTTTCTCATGATCCCATACAAAAAATTCAAGTTAAAGTGATACAGATATGAACAAAATAATTCCAATTATTTCATGCTATTTTTTTCATTGCAGTGTAGAGTCAATCTCTTTATCTCTGAATTATCCTTCTCAAAAAGATTTGTAGTACTTGACTGATAAGTTTTGTTTATACAGTATACAGTACTAAAAGAAGCAGCAATGATGGAAGATGATGAAACCTAAGAAATGACTCAGTATGACTTTATGCAGCTCTACAAGCAGCACTGCTTTTCTTGACTAATGTTTTTATGTCTGCAAATAAGTGCTTAATGATGTTTTCAAATTGTTGATGCACCTCAGAATGGAGGGAGAACTAATTCTGGTAAATTAAAGCAAAATATGGGTATTTTCTCAGCATAACCTGTAGTACGTTACAATATCGTCTTAAAAAGCTAGAGGAAAGATGGTCGAGGAGGACTGTCAAAGCTGCCGCAGGCTGATGTTTAGTGCCATGTGATTAACATCATCTTTTCCATAGTTTTCAATTCATTGTTTGCTTTTTTACTTGTTTACTTTTTACTTAAAAGTTCAGCCCTTAGACCCCCGTCTCTGCTTCAGTTGTTAATTTTTTTGTTTGTTTTGTTGACGGTGGTTGTTTGAGGTTTTTGTTTGTTTCTGTTGTTGTCTGGTTTTCTTCTGTGTGCTTTTTTTCCCTTTTTTCTTTTTTCCTTCCCTAATTTATGTTCACTTAGAGTTAGCAGTCTTAAGGCAAGGAGAATATTGAAAGTAAAACAATGTCAGTTGTATACATTGGTAGTGATTATATGTGATACAGAGAGTAGCGCATGATGAGCTTAATTATGTAATCTGAAAACTGTTGCCGTTCAGCTAAGTACTTGCGGACTAATTTCATGTGTCATTATGCTGCACATTGGGCAGGCATGCATCTTTTCCCTGCAAAACGATTCAACCTCCAAGTGACTGTGTAAATGGTCTCTCAGTAGGGAATAGGACAGGCATATTAGCTTGAATTTCGATAGAGATTTCTAAGGTCAAATTACTTATTTCTATCAGAGCAGTGGAGAATGGCAAAGAATGTGCTACCTACTTAATGGATTATTTATTTATTTGTTTTGTTTAATAAATTTGTTCTTTTAAAAATACCAGTCTCTGCACTGTGTTTGAAACCCTCTTGCTGACTGTGGGCTTTTTTTTTTTTTTTTCCTTTCTTTCTTCTTTCCCACTCTTCCTCTCTTCCTCTACCTGTTGGTTTCGGCAGTTCGTTCCTTTGGTACAGAAGATAGACCAACTGATAGACCTATTCCACCTCGCGATGAAGTCTTTGAGTATATTATATTCCGTGGTAGTGATATTAAAGATCTCACAGTCTGTGAGCCACCAAAGCCTCAGTGTTCTTTGCCACAGGATCCTGCTATTGTTCAGGTAAGGTGAAACATAATTTTAGGTATGTTTGTTTGTTGCTTAAGGCATAAGCTGACAGCACTAAGCTCTGCCTACTTGAGACATAGTGCTAAAAATAGAATTTTTGTAGCTGTAAAATTCACAATGCAAAGTAAAGAATTCTAGATTTTCTAGGGTCTTAAGATTTCTCTCTTGAATTATTTCTATCTGAAAATCTGAGTGGAAATCGAATTCTACAGTAAGTTAGATACCAAAGCTGATTTTTTTTTTTTTTTTATTCTGGCCATTGTTTTTTGCTAGAATGAATGCATGACGCTCTAGTGCTGAGTTATGTGGGTATTTCGGCATTTTTGTGCCATCTTTGCTTCTGAAATACATTGGTTAAACTTTTAGTATCCAAATAAATAAGTTTATGAATATAAAGTTCTTTTTTTATGTGTTAGCCCCAGTGTTATTGTTATGGTAAATTTAATGAAAAGTTTTAGCATTTCCTCTATGTTTTGCCTTGCAGAACTGTTTTCAACTTTTTATTCAAATGTTATATTCTGCTTGTTTGTTTGTTTGTTTGTTTCCCTCCTCCCCTCTAGTCTTCACTAGGATCTTCAACTACATCTTCATTCCAGTCCGTGGGATCCTATGGTCCTTTTGGTAGGATGCCTGCATACAGTCAGTTTAGTCCAAGCCCGTTAGTAGGGCAGCAGTTTGGTGCTGTTGGAGTTGGTATGTTCATTTTTATTTCGCATTTTCCTATTAATTAGGTTGCATGTACGTTTCTAAACAGTAATCAGTACTTATTATTCCTGTTTTATCCGAAGGACAAGTCCAAAGTCTTGAAGCTATATCAGTCCCATACTAGTTCAGCAGCAGTGAGTTTTTCATAACCCTTGTGCCTCAAATCAAAGCATCCATATGGTTGAGAGCTTACCACCCCATTTCAGAGGGCCAAACAGCACAGGTTCAGGAATGTTTTACAAGAGGTAGAGAAACAGCACCTACACAAAAGCAGTAAGCTGTGCTGGGGATAGCTGGTCAGGTGGCGTGTGCCTCAGCCAGGGATCTGAATTATTCAGCAGTCCCTTTGCCAGCACAGTTCTGCAGCTACTCAAAAGTTCAGCTTGGCATAAGATCTGTGCTTGAAGTGTTTGTGAACTAATGAGTTAGTTGCTCCTTTTTACTTATTTTGTAAATGTAATAATGGATGCTCTCAGGGACTTGCCAGCCAACTTTCCTCCTTCCCTCAAAGTTTCTTCAGCAAAAGAGAAGTCAGTTTACATTCTCAGCATTAAACCGAACAGAATTCACTCGTAAGACTCTGTAAAGAGTTCAATTAACGAACAAAAGAGGCAAGAACATTATTGTAAGTCCTTTCCATTCAGCAATTGGGGAAGAAGTGGATAAGATCACTGTGGCTAAAAGTGAGAATTTTGAGGTCAGGCAAGGAAATCAAGCGCTTAATATGCAGTGGAAACTTAGCCACTAATGAGTATCGTACTGGTACAAACCCAGCTGTATTTTGATTTTGCTACGATGGGTATTAATTGGCTGGTATTATTTACAGTGATGCCTGCAACTTAAAAACATGGGAGCTTCTAAACTTGGGTCTTAAATTCTGTAGAATTTAATTTAGTTTTCTATTTTTTATGATCATAAATTTTTTTTTTTTCCTAATTTAAAAAGAACCTATATCTGTTTTAAAAAAAAAAACTGCAGCAGAAGGTATGTTTGTTTAACTGGTAGCTTAGAGAAATGCAAAAAATGAAGGCTTTCATTATCTGGAGTGAGACAGGGTAACAGGAGTAGAGTTTGAAAGAATTATTTTAATAACATTTAACTATTTTTAGTAAGAACTTATATTCTTATAACAGTTATAGCAACAATGTTACTCTTAGAATTGAAAATGTCAGCCATGTGAATAGAAAGATGTATAATTGGCCATAATTTAATACTAATGAATAAGACATCATGGTAATATTTTTTGTTTAAAAAATGTTAAGTGAGAATATATACCAGTAGCTTTTTTTCTTACTCCGTAAATGGTGTCATTACCATGCTATGTTAATGCTTGCAGTATTAAAGCTGACAGTGCTTTTTATACAGTGTGTAACTAAAAATTAAAATCCTTTGTATATAGGAGGTATTATAGTCTTGCCACCTTGGTGAGAATACATACATTATACTAAATTTAAGCATGTGGGGGCACAAGTGAGTGGACTTTTGTCTGTTTTTTTTTAAAAAATTGACCTCAAGTCTAAACTGGGTTTTACAACTAGAGTATTTCTTTCAAAGCAGGAGGTTCTTTAACATCTTTTGGAACAGACTCTTCAGGCACTGCTAACTTGTCCCAGAGCACTGCAGTTGGTTCTGCATTTACAACAGATGCAAGGTCATTAAAATCACAGATGTCTCAAGGTAAATCTTGTTGAATGTATCTGTGAGCTTTCTGACTGTCTTGTCTTCCCCTCCCATTTAAGTGGTTGCCAGAAATGCTGTTTCCAATTTAATCTGTTCCAGCCTGGACATTTGAAGTTAATGTTATACCAAACGACCTAATTCTATCACAAAAAATAAGGTGTTAAGAAAAGTAAGGATGAGGTGAGAGGTTTTGTATTTATTCTTTAAGTGTGCGTTCCTACATCTAGCTGTGCTGCATAGGTAGTTGTGATTTTAGCAACACATCCACCGTCTTGAAAACATCTAGATCAAGAAGTAGGAGTTGTTTCAGCTGAGTGTTAGCAAGCAGGTGCATATGAAAGTTCTGTATCTAATTTTATTGATAACATGACAAAAGTTATGATACTACATATTGACAGAATTGTGAAGTCCTTCACCCTTACCTTTCCTGTAAACGTTTCCTCTCAGAATCCAAAATATGTTATTTTCCTTGTTCTTCAGTCTTCTCTGTGGCAACTAAAAGTGCATGTTAACATTTATTCCATTCATTTACAAGGCAGAATACTGAACTTTACTAACAGCATTTTTTTCCTCCAAATTCCTTTTGAAATTCGTGAACAAATTAGGATGGCTTTCAATTGTATGGTTTATGAAAAGAAATGCTGAACACTTACTCTTGGTTTACAAAATCATATGATTCTTACATTTAATATGAAACATGTTAAAGCTGAACATACATACAAAAAACTTGCAGTGGGACACCAAAAATATTTTTTGTGCTTGCTGTATTTTTTTAATTCTAGAATGTTCTGGCTTCAGTCACTCATTTTGTAAATCGAAATGTATGAACAGTGCTTTATGGGGAATTTTTCATGACTTTTGTTTCCATTGTACCATGACTGTTGATTATTTTGTAGAGTGAGCGTACAACAGGGTGCTAGATGGGATATAATTTCAGTATCATAACTGTATCTCTGTCGTTAGGAGCATTCGCTGCCCACTTGGCTTTTCAGAGAGACAGAAGGAGTTTTTGTAATTTCTATTAATCAAAAAATTTAATTCCACAGCTGTATGCTCATTCATCATAGGTAGGTTGATAGGGATTAATTGTCTTGCCAGTTTTTTTCTTTTAGACTGGGGGAAGGGGAATTACTAAATATCCTTCATTAGTGTCTTAGTGGATCTGAGGTGCAGCTGACTTGACTGGTAAGGCAGATAACCCTGTCAGCCTGGTTTGGTTGAGACCAGAAACTCAAATTTATAGATGAGAAATAATCCTTTTGGGTTCTTGTTTGTTTGTTTGCTTGCTTTTTTTTGTTTAGGTCGTTCAAGCCCTCAGATCGATCATTTGAGAAGGAGCCCCACCATGGAACAAGCAGTACAAACAGCTTCGGCCCATTTGCCTACTCCAGCACCTGTCGGGAGAAGGAGTCCTGTACCAGCAAGACCTCTAGTGGCTGCTAGCCAAAAAGCGTTAGAGAATCAGGAACACAGGCGAGGTAACTTTGGGTAGCTTTTTTGTGTAGGGTTGTCATTTTTTCCCTTCCCCACCCCACCCCACCCCCATTTTTTTTGATGGATTTTCCCAGCTCAGGGCAGAGCTGTTCAGCCCTGCATTAAGGATGAGGCACAGGAATCTTCCTGCTATCTGCTACAGTAGACTGGCCAGCAGAGACATGGATTGTAACTTATCTTTTTTGTCATTTGTCAAACAGATTTCTTGTTGTTGTTGTTCAAGAAGCAAAATTCATGTTTTACTTTCATGACTTTGGATTTTTAGAAATCTGAACTGTATAGCTAAATACATAAGTATGAGAGAAAATACTTAATTAAATAAACAGATCATCTTTTTATTTCCAACTTTAGCTGAAGCACACAAGGTTTCAAGATCAGAAAATGAACTCAGAAATGAAAACAAACGGCAAATTGGTAAATCTTGTTTTGAGAAATAGTTACTGTTTTCAGACTTCTAGTTTCAGGCTTTATTAAAGTCTGGCAACATGTGGTATTGCATACAGTTTACAGAGTGGTAGAATTTTGTTTTTAATGTTCAGAAATCTTAGTCAAGAAAACTTGCAGTTCAGATTATGATAATGTAGGACACGTACTTGGAATACTTTCACATAACTATTTCTAGTGGGTGTAATTACAATTTTGCTTTGGGTCAGAATAGCACAGGACAGAAAGTTGACAATAAACCAGTGTTTTTTTCTGTTTCCAATCACTGCAATCGGAACAAAAATACAAGAGCAAACAGTATTAATGGATTTATACACGCAGTAGTAATGATGATACATGCAGTAGCATGATGAAGACATTGATATCTTCTTACAGAAATATTTCACTGAAAAGCCAGTAACATTTTACCTGTTATTTGGATGGTTTTTAATGACTTTCTAGAAAGCCATTTTGCTTGCAAAAGGGTAGTACCTGAGATTAATGTATTTCAAGTTTTAAACCCTTGCTGTTCTTATCGTGAGTGAATCTAAAGAATTATAAGATGCTCCAAGAGGACTTTTAACGACAAAAATGCAGGAAGAGGATGCGTAAAGTCTCAGCCTGTTACCCAAAGAATTAAAAACAAAACAAAACCAAACAAAATAAAACAGAATTTATTAATGTTCAGTTCCAGGTGCACCTTCAGCACGGAGAGGTCGTGGAGGTCACCGAGGAGGCCGAGGAAGATTTGGTATTAGGAGGGATGGTCCCATGAAGTTTGAGAAAGACTTCGACTTCGAAAGTGCAAATGCACAATTCAACAAAGAGGAAATTGATAGAGAATTTCATAATAAGCTTAAATTAAAAGGTAAATTTTTTTTTGCTTTAGATATGACGGTGGGGAGAAACCAACAAGATCTGCCTTGTAAATGTTAATGCTTGGAGAAGCTTTTAGAAGGCCTGTCCTCCTATGTTCTGTTAGCAGTTACGGGGAAAAAAAAAACAATGGACAGGGAAACAGGGATCATGATTTCATTTATTAACTACTTTTTGGAGCATACGTGAGAGTTTCAGTCTATAAATCTGTTAGTTTTTTGTTTTGTTTTCCCTTTCCCAAAGAAACATGGGAGCAGTTCAGTTTCATACTGCCAGGACTTTTGTTGTGTAGCAGGCTTCTGTTGTAATTATCTCACTGTATTGTGATCTACCACTTGTTCATTACTTTGCTGCTACTGTTTCTGGACAAAATCGCTAGAGGATAAAAGAGAAAATTCCCTACATGAGTAATTGATTGGCTAAAAACTAGGAAACAAAGGATAGAAATAAATGGTCAGATTACAGTGTAGAGAAAAGCCATCAGTGGAATCCCATAGAATTTATTCTCTGGTACTCATCTCTTCTCTGGATCATTTTGAAATAATGAATAGAATATTTACTGTTGACACTAAATTATTCAGAGTAGTAAAGAGGAAAGCAAACCATAGAGAACTGTATAGAAAGACCTCAAGAGACCATGGATGGTAAATTTATGTTTTGGTTTTTGTTTGTTTGCTTTCTCTTGTTAAGAGTATCTAATTGTAAACTTCTGTGTATTTTGAGAGAAATTCAAAGTTTACACATGGCATTTATGAACTATGAACATTTAGAAATGAAACTTTCAAATCCTGATGGGTAGTTCTATGGAATCATCTGCTCATTTGTCAATACGAATAGTGATGGAATATCAATCACAAGAGAATTTTACTTATTAGGAAAGGAATATGCCTTAAAACAAGTCCTTGGCATGACTTGATTGCTGGCTTCCTATCTCAGAAGGGAGATATCAGTGATGGAAAACAGAGAGATAGGGGTGAGCAAAACTGTGATATCACTTCTGCATGAGGAATGACTGAATTATGCTTCGAAGCTTAGGAGGGTGATAGCTAAGAGATACGAAATAGCGCTCTTGTCCGTTCTACCACGACCTGCTTTAGCTTGCAAAGATTATAGAGGATGTTGCACCCCCACACTGCAGCAGCAAAACATCTGAATTTGCAAGTCAGATAATCTGACACTAATTCAGCTTCTGGAGATTGTTTTATATTGTAAATGATCAATATATTTTACTTTGAGTGTTCTTGGAACGAATTAGTATTGCCGTTTTGTTTAGTGTAATGGGCTGAAAAAAATGTTTTGTTTTTCCAGAAGATAAACTTGAGAAACCAGAGAAGCCTGTGAATGGAGAAGACAAAGGTGACTCAGGTGTTGACACCCAAAATAGTGAAGGGAATGCAGATGAGGAAGATCCTCTGGGACCCAACTGCTACTATGACAAAACCAAATCCTTCTTTGATAACATCTCCTGTGATGACAATAGGTATGGACGGTAGTGGGAAGCTTCTTGGGCACTGTAATGCATGTTTTTGACATAAGGTAGGGTCAGCACTACGCTGATGTAATGAGCGTAGGAAAACGAGTGAAGGTTAAATGCATATGCAGTGGACAAAAATTCCTTGAATGTAGTACATGGATAGCAAAATCTTTTAAATATTTAGAAACATGCTCTGGAATTTAATGCCCACAATGCAAAATATCCTTTCCAGTTTGTTGTTATTGTGTTACAGAATTTTCACTTTAAATCAATCACGAAAGTGCTTCAGTAATGGTTTCTAAGCAGAGGATATAACTCTTTTGCCAATACTATTGTTTGAATGGGAAGACAGCGGGTCAGAAAAATCGAAGCTTATATTTTGTTGTTTGCTTTTTTGATTATGAAAGATGATGTGAATTGCTGATATAGTTTGAGACTATAGATGACCTTTAAATTTTTCGTACTTCTTTTTAACTACCAATTAGATTAACATCTGTAACTGCAAACTCCTGTTTTGTGTTTGAAATTTCCACCAACAGGTTTTTTTGTTCATTTTGTTCTGTTTCTTTTCATTATGTAATGCTGTGTACAGAAGATACAGGTTGCATTCTTCTTTATAGGAAACTCTTACAGCATTATTTAATATATAACTAATACTGTAATATACCCACCTCCAATTTTGGAGTGAAATGAATTGTGGCAGACATCCAGATACTTGCACAAAGCATAATTTGGAAATTTGTAGTGTTATTAATACATAATTTTGAATTTGATTGTATTATTCATGACTTTAAGCTAGGTAAGCTTCCTTTTGAAATGTTTTCAAATGAACAATCCTTGTTCCTTTTCCGTGGCAGAGAACGGAGACCAACCTGGGCTGAAGAGAGAAGATTAAATGCAGAGACCTTTGGAATTCCACTGCGTCCCAATCGTGGCCGTGGAGGCTTCCGAGGCAGAGGGGGGATTGGCTTCCGAGGAGGAAGAGGGCGAGGAGGTGGAAGAGGTGGCTTCACTGCCCCCCGAGGATTCCGTGGTGGCTTCAGAGGAGGTCGTGGAGGCAGGGAGTTTGCCGACTTTGAATATAGGGTAAAATATATTTAATCTTTGTTATGCAAATGGTGATTAATTTTAAACAGATCACCATTGAAGAGTGTATGACTTGAGCCACTGCCCTTGGAAACTAGTGGTAAAACTTTTAGATTTGATGTTGAACTCTTGAGTAAGAATTTCTTTAATAGTATTTTGCAGATACTATACTATTTTTGCAGATACTATGGAACTGAAGGGCCATTAGCTAATATTTTGGTTAGCAACATCTCATAATCAACTAAAACTGCAAGTTGTCTTTATTCAGATGCCTATGATATTTGATTAGCTTAATTTAAAGAAAGTAAAAGGTCCACAGATAGAATAAAAGTGTTAGAAATGTGAACTGGGAACATTTTTCCAGACAGTATTCTACAGTGTAGAGGCTGAGAGGGAGAAATCGAACATGCTTGTAAGATTCAAGGAACTTTGTGTGGATGACTTGGCACAAAGTGAGCTAGCCCGTATATTCATTATTTCCCATGTAACCCCTAAAAATACAACAGCAGCAGTTACTGATGCATAGAGATGACCAGTTGTGAAAAGGCAGGCCAAAAAATAGTCATCTGAGTTGTTTAAGTTTCTCTTAAACACACCTCTCTTTAAGATACAGCTTACAGTAAGCGTATCGAATAGCTTAGTTTAGTGAATTCATCTAGCTGAAATAACCTCATATGAAAACTTTTAATGATCAGATAAGCATGAATGTAAATCAGCAGTGGTCCATTGTTTATAAAACTAAAATCTTTTTGTAATTTCAGGGTAGGCCATTTTTCTTGGCACTAAACTCTATCTTCAGCCGAGACATGAGCCTCTTAAGGAACAGAAATAATCCTGGTGCACTGATTTCAGTATCAGTAATAAATATGATTACCTAAATTGATGCATGTAAATACAGGCTTTTACAATTTTGACCCTGACACAAAATCTTCTGGTAGTGTACTGTGTGAGCTGTTACTGATTTGCACAGTGGAAGTTTTGCTTCCTGGTTGAGGATGAAATCACTCGACTATAAAAAGGGTTTTTCATCACAGCAGATTTCCCACTGCCCTGCAGTCACTCATTCATTTATTGGTTAGAATTACTTCTGTAGGTCTAAGAATTTTTTGTGGACAGTTTAGCATACTTCAACAAGTGTTAGCACTGACTTGAAATTAAGGAGTTGGAGATCCAGGATCTTCATTTATGTATGAAAGCGATTCACCGTCTTCCAAATAACGGGAGTATTTGTGCCGTGCTTGTAGCCAAAATGACTCGCTGTTTCAGTGCCTGCCCAACTGATGATATTTTAACCAGAAGTTAACCTGACCATGAGGCACTCTTTTTCTGGTTTTAGTAGATGAGAATTACCCATCACAATGCATCTTTTCCCAGTGCTGTTATCCAAATTAATTTTATTTTTGTGTTTTGCAAAATGAATTGTAACCTTCTACTGTTGTTCCCTCTAGAAAGACAACAAAGTTGCTGCATAGTCTGCAAGAAACCTGAAACCGGGTGAACGCCTAGATCTTCTTGATCCAGAGAATTAGTTTCAGTCTCTGCAAAGAATGAAGTTAATTTGCTGTATACTTGTCACCAGCACTGGGATTTAACTATTTAATTTCAAAGGGGTGTAATGCAGTTACTTTTTGAAAAATGGCCATCTTTGAAAACAGTGAGCATTAAATATATTTGAGACAGAAGGATAAGTAATTTCTTATGTATAGTTAATTATAAAGCAGTACTTCGATGGAGTTTAAGTATTTTTTCATCACTGAAAGGATTTTTCTTATTACTAAACTGTATTTGATATTTGCTTCGAGTTGTAAGGACAATTGTATGCAGAAGGCCGTCGATACTGTGAGTGCTTTGATCCACTGAAGGTTGTTTTTTGGAAATCCTGTAATATCCCTTTTGAGATAGTTGTTCTTTATCAACTAGGGTGCTGGACAGTAGAAAATTTGCTTTGTCAGTGAAATATGTACACACAGTAAATACTGTTTCTTAGGCAAAGGAAACTTTTTATATAGTTGTAAAATTCCATTATATCCCATTGCCAAAGAAACATTACAAACTTTGTATAGCTGTATAAAAAGCAACTAATTTTTTAAAGAATAAACATTTTTAAGTCGGCAAACATACTGTGTTATTGCAAAAGTTGATATGCTGAAGAACACTGAATTAGTTGGTTTTTTTTTTTCTTTTTTTTTTTCTTTAGCAGCTTTTCAGGCTTAAATGTTTGATTTTATATTTGGACTGTAATGAAGATTTGAAAATGTTCTTCCATTATACAAAACTGGATACATTCTTCACTTCTCTTGCAAGAAATTGATTTTGTAGTTTCTGGCATATCACAGGATTTGACCAAATTAAGGAGATATTTTCGAATAAGGGCAAAATAACAATTTTCATATATCAAAATTTGCAGTTTTACTTGGTGATTAAATATTAACTTTTTTTATTAAAGTGGACCAGGCACATTAGTGGAGATGATTCTCCTGGAATGCCTGGGACAAAAGTATGTCTCCATTTGTCACTTCTTGAAATGTTAACTTTGTTGTAATACCTGTAGACATAAGCAATTTAAAAAGAATTCTTAGTGTTTGAAGTTGTTTGCATTTTGATAGACCATAGCTTGGAGACATTAAAACTGGTTCTAAGACCGTGAATTCACAGGTGACATGGTATGGACTTTTTTGCCAATTCTGAAGGACTAGTTATGGCTTTTTGATATGCTAAGTTACAACTGAAATAGAAATCTGGTCATTTGTGTCTGTATATGTATATGAAGGCCGCAGGAATAAAGGGATCCAAAGATTAAAACATTTTGATCTAATTTGCTGATTTTCTTTTTGTTAACTTTATCTTCAAAATGTTCAGTGGTGATAAAGATGTGGAAAACTGCACTGTTGGAAAATTGAAATATTTAAAAGTGGTTGATAGAATCTTAATTTTATAACTTTTTGTATAGCACTACAAGGAAGTATTTTGTAATTGGTTTCCTTATTAAGGTCAAGTATTTGGCAACTGTAGAAGTTAGATAATATTGTTTAGTAATGTTTTTTGCATGTTAACAACAATGCCTTTTGGGATCCACAAATCATGATTCTGAACAACTTTAGAGGTTTCTGAACATAAAGGCAAGTGCTGTACTGTTGCAATAACTATGTATACTGTATGAGGTGTCCCAGGCTTATTTAAACACGATGAATTGTAAATACCAATGATACATGCTGTGAAGGTAGGGATTGACGTCTCTCCCCCAGTATTTGGGTTACCACTTGGGGTGCGCTGTACCCAGGAGTTAGCAGCATGGCCTACCTTCCGTGTACCTTGCTCTGTGGAAGTGAGGGGTTTTTTATTTTAAAGCAGAATAAACTGTTCAATAAAATCAGTCTTTTGAACGTTATTTTGGGTATGCTGCAGGTGCTGGGCCGGGGCTCTGCTGGCGCCAGGGAAGCTGCGCAGGACGGGCCGTTCAGGCGCAGCTGGACGCGGGGCGGGAGGCGCTGCTGGGGGTGTCGCGCAGGGTGGGTTCCTCGGGGCATGAGGCGGAGGCGGGTGGAAGGAAGTTCGGGATCGGGGCAAGGACGGGCAGGGGAGGGCGGAGGCGGCGCGCCTGCCCCGCGGCCGAGGGGCGTCTGCGTGAGTGTGAGTGAGGGGCGGGGGGGGGG